ATTAGGGATGGTGAGCGTTTTTTCATGTTTGTTAGCCATTCATCTGTCTGCTTTAGAAAAGGTTCTATGTTCATTTTCATTTTTATAACAATTTTACTATTTGATTATATAGTAATGTGAAGATACACAGATTTGAAGAAAATAAAAATTATTCAATATCCTTCCCCCAAATACAATAACAAGATTATATATATATGTATATATTTTATCCTGGTCTTTTTGTACATTTACACAGCATTTTTAAAATAAAACTTTTACTATAAAATGCCTACAAATCCCTTCTTTCATTTCATCTTATAGAGCAACTATTTCTTTATGACGTCGAAATATTATGTGAAGAGGATCTTTGGTTGGCTGATTCACGATCTAATTATAACTAAAATTTACCTCCAAATGTTGACTATTCAGATTATTGTAAATATTTGCTAATATAACATTGTTATACATTTTTCTTCACACCAAACTATTTGTATCTGATAATTTTTTAAAGAGAAATTCCTAGGAGGACCCAGCACAGAGTGTGTAAGTATTTTTAAGTCATTTGATTCATTTCACCATTTACTACACCCAACCTCGAGAAATGTGCCAATTCACAGTCCTAACAGTAAGTAACTGAGGAGTCCCATTTCTTCCTTATGTTTCTTGGCAACATAGGAAACTAGATATTACATAACTCTTTATTGTGCAAACATAATATATAGAGAGAAGAATGATATCTTGTTTTTTTAAAATATAAAAATCTCCCCCACATTTGCTGTTCCTTCTGAAGCCATGCAACTCTATAAGCGTCTCATATGACCAGGAATCTTATTTTTCTTAGCAGTGGTTCTTCCACAGCAAAGGCAGAAAGCTGCACGTCTTTGCTTAAGTTAAGCAGGAATTCCCAAAGCGACTGGAGTGAGAACGTCTTCTGTTCTTCTGGGCAGCCATCCTACTTTAATGTCTTGGTAATAAAACAAAAACCTGGGCCATGTTCTTCAGGGTAGAGAGCACATCTGACCCTTCTGTGGACCCCATCTCAGGTGTGGTAGTGAGACATGAACTTTTGGCTTTATTGGCATTTTCTTTCCGGGTGCTTACGACCCGGGCCACGGACACTGCTGCTTCCCGGAGCTCCTTCCAGCAGTCCTAGGCTGTTGCCGCCACACTGCACCGCAGATTCCAGCCTCCTTGCGAGAGCCGCCTCTGGAACTGTGGTCATGTTGATGAAATCCACCTCCCTCCATGAAGCTTTCTGCCAGGGAGCTAAAAACGTGGTCTCCATTGTGACCATTGTTCCCCTTGAGTGGACCGAAGTCTGAGCTTCTTGGCAGTTTCTATGAGTAACTCTCGTTTTGGGGCACAATGGCTCAGCCATGGGAATGTGGCACGCTCCTTCTAGACTCATGTCCATGAACTGATGCATAATGACCATATCACCAGGTTAAGTCTCCCCAGTCAAGGAGCCTCAAGCTGCGGTCACTGTGACGTGTACAACCCTCTTCCTTCAAGGCCCAGGTGAGCACCTGGTGGTGGATTTTTGAGAGCGGGAACGCGTGCTGCCTCCCGTGCCCTGCAAAGAGGACGCAGTCAGCCTTTGTTATCTTCTTCCAGATTAAGGCACCAGGTGGCTTGCCAAATGGGACAGCCACATAGTTTTTAGTTCTCCGTCTAAAATTTCTGGATCATCCAGGCCTGTTCCACCAATTACTACTCCAATCTTCTTGAGCCGTGGTGGCGGCGCTTGAATCCATCTCTGCCCATGGGGGAGGAACAGTGTGCAGCGAGTGAGCAGGTGGGGACGAGGGACCCGGCCAAATAAGCGGCAGCGGGGACAGCCATGCAGCGCAGGAGTGAGCCTGGTTCTTTTTTTCATAAAATTTGGTGAACTATCTTCCAATCTGTGGCTTGTCTCACTGCTTCATTTATTGTGGCTTTGTTTTAACTGGCAGGGCTCGGTGGCTCACTCGTGTAATCCCAGCACTCTGGGAGGCCTAGATAGGGGGGCTGCTTGAGTTTAGGAGTCTGAGACCAGTCTGAGCAAGAGCGAAATCTGTCTCTACTAAAAATAGAAAAATCGGCCAGCTTTGTAGAGGGCACCTGCAGTCTGAGCTACTCGGGAGGTGGAGGCAAGAGAATTGCTTGAGCCAAGGAGTTTGAGGTTGTTGTGAGCTAAGATGCCACTGAACTATTGCCTGGGTGACACAGAGAGACTCTTCCTTAAAAAAAAAAAAAGTTGCTTAATTTTAATATAGTTAAGGTTTACTAATCTTTTCCTTTTCCTTGTGGTTTAGCGTTAAGAAATCCATCCCTACTCCAGAATCATCAAGGCGCTTTTCTGTACTTTTTTTCTGTAAGACTTAGATCCATGAGGACCTTTAATTCTCCTGGAACTGACTCTGCTTAGCCCGCGGGGTAGAAGCCTGTTTCTTCACACGTGGGATAGCTGGCACCGGTTATTAAACACCCTCACTCCAGGCTTTCCTCCTTGTTTTGGTGGTCGTCCAGGTCATTCATTAAGATACCTTTTTGTGTGGAGTCTGTTTCTGGGCTCTCATTCTGTTTCTCTGATCTCTTTGTACTCTCCCCGCTAACCCTGCAGTCTCCTAGTTTCTGTGTCTGTATGTTTTGATTCCAGCAGGCACATCTCCACCTTGCTGTTGGTCTGCTGTTGTGGAACTTCTCCGACCCTGTAGTCTAGTAGTTTCTGTGTCTGTATGTTTTGATTCCAGCAGGCACATCTCCACCTTGCTGTTGGTCTGCTGTTGTGGAACGCTCCCCCATCTTTTTCTCCTCTGTCCTCATTCTTGTAGTCATCCTTTTCTTCTTCTTCCTCCTCGTTATTTGTCATCTTCTATTCTTAGCCCTTGGTTTTTCCATATCGATTTTAGGATCATTTGCTTTAGTTCCACTGAAAAACTCTGTTGAACCTTTAACTGGAATTGCATTGAGTTAACAGAATAACTTGACATCTTTAAGCTGTTTAATCTTCTTATCCGTGAACTAACTAGGCCACTCGATTAATTCAGGTCACTTTATGTTTTATCCTTAGCTTTGCTTATTTCCTCCTTAGCACTCTCACACCTTTTCTTAGATTTATAATTATATGCATGAATTATGTGTAGGATATTGTCAAATAAAAGAGAGGATGGGCAGCTCCCTCATCATGTCCCAGACTTAGAGAATTCTATGGAAGTTCCACCTTTTAGAATAATGTTTGCTGTAGGTTTCTGATAGACAGTGTTGTCTTCAACCCGATAGTTATCTCTTCCACTGCACCCAGACTAGAGTTTATCCCATTTACTAATATTTTATCCCAGAGGTATATTTTTCAATTGCAAATGATTCTTTCTCATATTTAGGGTTTCTTTTTTTGCCTATGTTTCTTCCATCATTTGTTTTTATTTATTTGTTTTCATTTCAGATTAATATGAGGGTACAAATGATTAGGATACATTGTTTGCATTTTCAAGGTAAAGTTCAGGTTGTAGTTGAGCCACAGGGGTGTACCGTGTACCCTTACATTACACATATCAGGTGCGAGCTTACCGATTCCCTCTTTATCTTCTACTCCCTCCCCTCCACTTGAATATAATTGTGTTATTCTCTCATGTGGGTATGTAGTTGTTTATCTCTTGGTTTCATGTTAGTATTGAGTACATTGGACACTTGCTTTTCCATTCTTGTGATACTTCACTAAGAAGAATGTGCTTCAACTCTGTCCAGGTAAATCCAAAAGACGTGAGGTCTCCATCTGTTTTTGTGGCTGAATAGTATTTCATAGTATACATATACCAGTTTTTTAATCCATTCATGGGTTGATGGGCACTCTTAACTTGAATCCACGTCTTAGTGATTGTGAATTGAGTTGCAATAAATATTCTGGTGCAAATGTCCTTATGGTAAAATGATTTTTTCTTTTGGGTAATTATCTGATTAAATGGAAGGTCTATTTCAGCTCTTGGAGGATTCTCCATGCTTCTTTCCATAGAGGATGTATTAGTTTGCAGTCCCACCAATAGTGTAAAAGTGTTCCCTTCTTTCCACATCCAGGCCAGCACCCCCAGCTTGGGGACTTTGTGATATGGGCTATGTATGCTCACTGAGTAGTTTTGATTTGCATTTCTCTGATGATTAGAGACAATGAGCATGTTTTCATGTGTTTGTTGGTCATTTGTCTGTTCACATCTCCTGCCCAGTGATAGAGGGGATTGTTTGCTCTGTTTTTATTTTTATTTTTGAATGAATGTTATCCAAGCATTTATCACTCTGAGCAAACTAAGAATAACTTATTTTAAATTCTTTTTCAAAGACTTATAAAGTTAGATCACAAAAGTTAGATTACATCTTTGCATCATAAAATCAGTTTCATCTGGTATAAATTAGTATATTGAATTTTTAATTTTGTTGGGTGCATTTTTCCAGGTATTTTGGCATTTTCAAGCTAATTTTGAGTTGTAGTTTCTTTTCACCTCTTCTTTCTGCTCTCTTCCTTTGGGTTCCTTTCCTGGCTTCTGGTCCTGTGGTTGTATCAGTTGACTCCTAAGTTGTGTTTCCCATTGGGTCCTCTAGTGGTGTTTCAGGGCTCTGGATTTATAGAGATACAGAGATAAGACAGATTCGTCAGCATGCCCTTGGGCACCTTGATTGGATCCATTTCATGTGGGGCTGTGTTTGTCTTCTAGTCTTCGGCCAGCCCAGGTCTACAGATTCTTATACAACTAATTCCCACGCTGGCCAGCTGCTATCTTTTCATCCAGGTGTTTGGACAAAGGAGCCCCAAGATATGTCAGAGCTGAAGTGCAGAGACTCCACCTAGTTCAGCATCAACTGTGTTTTCTGGGTAATGTCCAATGAGCTCTACAGGGTAAGACTTTTGGGTTTCAAGAGCCTCCTGGTTAGAATAGGTGAAGGATGAATAGGTTAGAATAAGTGAGAGGTGAGAATGTGCAAAGCTGCTTCTGAGGAGAACCCTGGCTCTACCGGCAAGTACCCAAGTTTTTTTTGAGAAGTGAGAAGGCTCTTCATCTTTCTGGGGTCAGGTATGGGTATCACTGCTCTTTCAATCGGCAATTCAGGAACACAGGCACTAATCTTCTGCCACAAAGTTAAACCTCAAACTAACTCTTACCTGGTTTCTGTCAAAACCTCAGATGAGATAGTGGCTAAGAAAAATGGGTGAATGGCTGGGCTGTTCACTTATTCTTTTGGCATAAATTCTTCTACTTTTCTATTTAGTTGGAGAATCATTGACTTAGCTCCCATAGAAACCACTTTACTAAATTTCACTATTATATTTGCTTCCATTTGGGGAGTGAGTGGCCACCACATGCCATGCTCTGTATCCATACTGGGTAAATCTGTCTCTGATTCTCACCCAACACAAACTTTCTTTTTTTTTTTTTTGAGACAGAGCCTCAAGCTCTCTCCCTGGGTAGAGTGCCGTGGCATTACAGCTCACAGCAACCTCCAACTCCTGGGCTCAAGCGAGTCTCTTGCCTCCGCCTCCCCAGTAGCTGGGACCACAGGTGCCCGCCACAACGCCCGGCTATTTTTTGGTTGCAGCCGTCATTGTTGTTTGGCGGGTCCGGGCTGGGGATTCGAACCCGCCACCTTAGGTGTACGTGGCTGGCGCCTTAGCTGGTTGAGCTATAGGTGCCGAGCCAACACAAACTTTCAAGGTGAGAGCCTGAGTCCTTTTTCATAGATAGGGAAACTGATGCAGTGATCACTCATCTTATACCAAGCAATTAATATAATGCCACAACTGTCTACCATAATCTTTTTTTCTTATATTTTTCTTTCTTAAGAAAATAATTATTGCCAACTGAGATGTATAAAATCTCTCTATATGGAATGTATGACATTAGCTTCCAAAGTAGGTATGATTATACCAACACATGAGTATATTTCATTTATGATCATTATAATTTTTTCCATCACCCCTAAATCTGTGTTATGTGTATTTCTTTGAGCAGAAGGGAAAATTTAAATGATGAAATTTTTCTAGTTCAAGTGGGGAATTGGAGAAAACATGCAGTATTTCTCCAAGTGTTCAGAAAAGCTAACAAAATTAAACTCTGTTGGATTTCACTGGGCTCTGGTTTGGATGTAGAAAAGATTGGTCACAAGCAACAACCTATGAGCTAATATCAACTTGCGAGGTAGTCTTGAAGCACATATGCAAAAAAGTTAGATTACATCTTTGAAAGCAGTTTGAGTTTTATTATCTGGGAGGCGATTTTAGAATGAGTCCATAAAGACATAAGGGAAAGCTGTTCATCTATTCCAAAACCATTAAGTGCCACCAGGGTAAGGTATCAATATGCATCAGTGTGAGAACAGCCAACCAGAGAGGGCCATTTTTCCCACATGTTCTTCCGTGTCCTGTTGTGTGGGGTTCTTCAGAATGAAATATGACTTTTAATAAGAAAAAAGAGCTAACCACTGAACATTTCTTTTATTTGAAGGTTTAACTACTGCTGTCAATCAAATTAGCTCCCACAGAGATAAATGTCCTTCAGAGTCCAATTAGCTGTCTCCCTTCTCTCCATTTTGGTTGCTTAAATAATAAATGTCTTTGCTCTTCCTGAATTTATAGTAAACTTTTTTTGCAGCCAGGAATTGCTTCTAATCCAGAATCTCTTACTCTTTAGGCCTTAATAGATAGAGCGTGCTGCATCCTCTGATGCTTCATAAATATCTTCGATGGCAGGGATGACATTTCAGTGGTGAATGCCTGTCAAGGAAGGCTAT